ATATCTCATTATAGATGGCTGTGAATCACCATGTGGTTGCTGGGAACTGAACTCTGGACCTCTGGAAGAACATCCAGTGCTCTTAACCTTTGAACATCTCTCCAGCCTGGAAACCTGCATTTTAATTGGTCCCAGATGAGCGCACTTCCACACAGGGTGTCTGGAAAGGGCCATTCTGTGATGGGCTCCTGAAAGCAGGGCCTGGGTCTGGTTCTTCTTTGTCTCCCATAGTGCACTTGCTCTGTGCTGGACCTGAGAGGACCTCAGTGTTTGTGCCAGTGTGCTGCCACTGTCTGATACCTTGACCAAAACCCATGCACAGATACGCAGCACAGTGAGTGGGGACAGAAGGTCTGCTTAGATGGCAGGGGAATGCGGCCACATTTCTCTGGGCCACGCTACCTGTGCCCTTGTGTCTGAGTGAGGCAAGTCCCTGCATCCTCTGGCTTTTGGATCAGAACTTCCTTCAGTGAAGGGCACTGGTTGTGGTTAGTGGCATATAACTGGAGACACAAGGTCAGATTCCACACATACTCCTACATATTCCTACCACACACACCTGCATTCTGCTCACTGTCCTGGAAAACACCCCATCGTGTGTCCCTGGCTCTTTCTCCTGGGACCTCCAATGCCGCAGGGCTGTGGGGAGCAGTGAGCCAATTCCAAAGGTGACACTGGCTCTGTCTCCATCCTGATGAATATCCCGTCCCTTGGCCTAAATTCAGGGAAAGGATAAGCTTGGGCTTCACAGGCCCCGTCTGCATCTTCCTGGTTGCTGAATTGAGTCCCAGGACTCTGCCAGAATTGAGCCGATCTGTGACAGTGATGGCCAGCCCTCAAGTGAGGCCTTGCAGGTCCAGCTAGGTGGCTCTGTGGTTCTTCCGAGATCCCTGTAGCAGAGAAAGAGGCCAAGGCCCAAGTTAGTATCAGCAGCTCCGGTTTCAGCATACAGAACAGGTGGCGGGGGTTCTCTTAGACAGGGCATCCTGAATCCACTTCTTCCATCCACTAACTGAACTCAGCGCGGGAGTCCAGGGTACCTTCTTTAACCCACATGTCCAGCCATCTGCTGGCCTCCTCTGCATCTCTCTTCTTCTTCTCCCAGCCTGCACTGCTGCTGTTGGCCCTACCCCCTGGCTTGCCCTTGCCCTTTTCCAGGTCCTCCCCATGCAGCTCTCCCAGAATCTAGCCCAATTCAAATAGCACTTCTGTGCCGAAGAGTTGTTTGTGAGATGGAGTGATGGCAGTTTCCTAACCCTGCCACTGTTTTCACAGCCCCAATGTGGCAAGGGTGGGAGAAAGGCCTTGTGACCAAGATTATGCCCAAGTAGGTGGGTGCAGGTTGAGGAACCTGCTTGCTCCCAAGTGGCGTGACACAAAGCTTGTAGCTTGCTAGGGGTGCCACACTTCCTGGCTAGGAGGGGAGGCCTCAGAGTGGCGTTGCCGTTCTTCAGGGCCCTGAGAAGAGGACTGTAGGTATTTCGAGGTCTGCCGCACGGTATACCAACCCTTGCTGTCAAGGCTACCCACCCCCCAAGATTCTGGCACTTGTCTCTAGCCCACGGAGATCGACGGGTCATAGCCTATGCAGCTGTGGGAACCAGACAGCAGTGCAGGTCACTGTTAATGTGCCAGAGTCTGGCACAGGAAGTCATGTCGAAACAGAAACCTCCAGATGGCCAGCTGGGTGACAAGAGCTGGTTGCTGGGGTACCACACCCTGAGCAAGCTGGCCAAGCAGGGAAGAGCATTTGCAGAGTCAGCCCTCCTGTGGCTGAGCACCTACAGTGACAGACAGAGCCATTCCTCCTGGGGACACATCCGTTTACCGCCTCTCCTCCCAGAGCCTATCAGAAGGCCCATGAGAGAGTGTTATCCTATGTCTGCCTCTAGTCTCAGGTCATTGCCCAGCAGGCCATGACCCAGAGCGGGGTGCTCTGTTCACTTCCATTGCTCAGTGGCTGCTTTTAAGCGATGACTAGCTGCTGCCTTTGGGTGACCTCTGGTACCCCAGTGTATCTCAGTGAGAATGGGGGCTTTGGGTGGCCCCCTGCTGGCTGACACATGTTGCTTCTTACCAAATCCTATGAGGCTTGGGTCCCCAAACCCTGACTAGGGAATGAAGAAAGGACAGACACACACACAGGAAATCTGGGATCTGTGTGTCTGTGGGGTGCGTGCACTCTGGAGGAGCCACAGCTACATGTCCCGATGTCCTGGTCCCCAGGGCTCTTGGTCTTGGGTGTGTCAGCCAAGTTCAGAAATGAGTTTGGAATTCGGGTGCCATTCCTTGGAACATTAGCCTTCGAAATCTGAGGCAGTCAGAGATAAAGGGACCGCAAAGATCAGAAGCCCTCCCTCGCTGACCAAAGACCTCGGTGTCCCAGGGAAAATGTGAGAGGACCTCAGTGTCTGGGGAGAATGTGAGAGGGCTGTGCAGTCCACCCACAACCCCACCTTTGTGGCAGGTGAGTAGTGCTGGTGCCACCAGCTCCTGTTACTCACTCCCCTTGTCACATCCTGTGTGGTTCTCTCTCGTGTCGGTGCAGCTGCCCTGGAGGCCGGAAACGCCAGCCAATCCAAAGCATCCTCGGTGCACTGGACTCATCTGGGATAGTGGGAACACTGTGAATGGGTACACAGGAGGTCATTTTTGTGCTCAGGGAGGCTTCAGTTCCTTTTCAGGCTGTTTCTGCTTCAGCAGACACACTGGGAAACTTGTATTTTCAATTTCCTGTTCCTTTTGGCCCATGATATGTCAAAATGTGCTGATCCCCCAACCTGGCTCTTTCTGGCTCGCTCTTAAAGAATGCCTCTGCTGCTGCCTGATACAGGGTTGGGACTGTTCCCAGGGAGCCACCTGAGTTATAGTTTTCACATGGAGTTGTTTTCTCTTCCTCTCCCAAGCCTAGCAAGGTAGGGCCAGGCCACCCTTGATATGGAGAGGGAAGGTCTGGACCAAGATATCCCCTTGGCCCCCAGCTGTGACCCTGCTGAAGGGTAAAACCCTTTCAGCACATCGGAGGCTTGTCCATGTGGCTGTAGTGCTCAGCGCTGTGACTCAGTATCCTTACCTTGTCCTGTTCCCTGATGCCACCCAACACCACAGGCTGCACAGACCCACTCATACCTTTTTCATAGTCCTTTCTTGGTCACTTCATCCTTCCCTAAGGCCCTGTCATCAGGGCAGCTTTTGTGGGGTTAGAAGTGTTGGACAACCCTTTCCCTCCTGCCAGCCCCAATATGTTTTGGGTCCTCTGCAAGGGAAGGAAGCAGTGAGCAGGGTGGGACAGAGATGAGCTGGCCCCTACAGCTGTCTCTTCCCTCCCTCCTGGCCTTTTCGTCCTTCCTGCTCAATACCCTTGTCCCTGCCATTGGAAGAGGAACTGAGTACCTGGATGGCTCAGCATCCATTTCTCACAGGGTCCCTCTTATACCTGGTAACAGTGTGCTAACCTAGGTCTGTCTAGTAGAACTGTAGCTAGCTTGTAACCTGACCCTGAAATTAACCACTTGGTAGTAAGGTAAAATGATGAAGGGTTGATGTGCTGGTGTTGCCACCATGGCCAGCTCTGTGGCCAGGAGGACCGCAGCATCTCAGCTTGCTCTCGAAGCTTATCTTTGCCAAGGTTGTTATCAGCAGCCAGGCGCCAGATCAGAGCCAGATCCCATTCCTCATCTCACAACCCATTCCTGATTCCTGACCAGACTCTAACAATGAGCCTATGTGTGCTCCATTGGTTGGTGTCCCAAGGGCATGATTTTCCCTCACCGAGATCAAACTGTCGGCTGCCTTTCTGACATGTGAGACCACAAAGGCAGCTTGTCTGTCCCCTTCCTGGGGTCATGTGTTAGAGCCAGAGCATGGATCTGCTGCAGGCTGCATGCTAGGGCCCTGGTTTGCTTCTGACCACAACTTATACTTCACCCATGCCCCAGCCTGTGAGCAGTGTGATGCTCACAGGACAGGACATTTCTGGGCTGATGTGGCCGCGATGCATTCCCCACCCTGAGGACCCAGGCTAATCCTGCCTGTCCCAGGTACTGCTGCTGGGCCTTGTCTTTGAGAATAGGTTTGGTGACCCCATGTTCCCAGTCACTGTGGCATCCAAGAGCTCGCTGCTTCAAAGGCTAGAAAGCAGAGTGACTGGTGCTCTAAGCATGTCAATCACGGGAAGATTTCCAGATGTTTCTTCCCATTTCCAAATGGAAGTATTTGGATAAAAGGCCAAGAAGGGTCCCTCCAGCTGTCACACCTCATGATCCTAGGTTGATTTTTCTGAGTCTGCTAGAGAAAGACCATAGGCCCAGATGGCTCCTACAGCTCCTTTTTACCCTGCTTGTGGGCATATCTCCGGAGCTATCTCTGGACCCCAGCCTCTACCCAGCCTCTCAGAAATGCTAGGCTTAGAGTCTAAAGTGGAAGGTGTGTTTGGTTCTGTCTGAGTTTGGCAGCCTATGATGTCACCAACCATCATTGAACCCCCTTGTGTTTGAACCCCCTTGTGTCATGTTCTTCCTCTTCAAGAGCATAAGGACAGGTGGGGAGTTCTACCACATTGCTGCAGTCTGAACGAGATGAACTTTGAGCCAAAGGCCTAGGTTTAGCATCTGTTTCTGCTGCTTACCAGCTGTGTGGTGATAGGTCATCTCACAGACTGCAAGACTTAGGGGAGGAGTAAGCCCCATTAGCATGTCACCCAGTACCTGCCATCTCTACAGACCCTAACCCAATGGCAGTGACAATGATAATCCCGTCAACATAGTCATCCTGAGTTGGCAGGGGATGAGAAGAACCTAAGATTTAGAGCAGGGGTCCTGGATTCAGGCTTTTGCTGCACTACTCACTGACAATGGGATGCAGATTCTGAGCCTCAGAATGCCTCTGCTTTTGTCCCTGCAGAACAGAGGGAAGTGTAGTCATTGTAAAGGCCTAGGAGGCAGGGCTGGCAAGCTCCTTCACCCCAAAGTGGGATAATGCTCTTTTCTTTCCCTTCACAGGCACACATTCTGGCAGTTCCGCCATGAGAACCCCAAGACCAGAGTTGGGGACCCTCCGCCTGAAGGGCTTCCCGGCTTCAACAGTGGAGTAATGCTGCTGAACCTGGAGGCCATGCGCCAGTCTCCGCTCTACAGCCGTCTGCTGGAGCCCGCACGGGTACAGCAGCTTGCAGAAAAGTACCACTTCCGGGGCCACCTCGGGGACCAGGACTTCTTCACCATGATTGGCATGGAGCACCCCGAGCTTTTCCACGTGCTGGACTGCACTTGGAACCGGCAGCTGTGCACCTGGTGGAGGGACCATGGCTACAGCGATGTCTTCCAAGCATACTTTCACTGTGAGGGCCACATCAAGATCTACCATGGAAACTGCAACACCCCTATCCCAGAAGACTAGGCGCCAGCTCACCCGCTGTGCCTGTGGGGCCCCCAGGCCTGTGGAAGAAAGAGTGACTCTCCAAGGATGCCCTTTGGGATCAAGGTGCTGCAGGCTCCCAGCTGGCCGGTCCCCATCCAGTGGCCATCCAAAGCAGCTTAGCTGAGCACTGCTGGTGCTCAGGCTGCTCCTTCAGGGCATCATGAAGGACAGACACAGAAGGTTTCTGGGAGGTGGAAGGAAAAATGCACCCTTGTCCACATGGAATCAAAACCCTTTTAAAGAACTGGCGTTGGCTGGACCAAATCAGCACCTAGAGCAATAGGCTTGTGCTTTGTGAGAAAGAACAAGCCGTGCTGCCGCAGTTCCCAGGAGCACTGAACGAGTGAGTCAAGGTTTTAACAAGTAGCCCAGAGCTTAAGCCTCCAGAGGAACGCCACAGCCCCACATCCTTTCCCAGGAGGCTTTGCACCTCCTCTGGATGTTCACCTTGCTTGGTGCAGGCTTCAAAAGAAGCAACTCTTTAGATAAGGCCTGAGCATATGTAATAATCCCCTTATAGCATCCACAGCTGTCATCTCCCCCCCCCCATTATATCCCAGAACCCCATTTTCCCTTGCCCATTCACCTGTTCCAGGTGACCTGACTTTATTAAGGAATCAAATTTACCATCAAAGAACGGAGACTGGCCATGCCGAAACATGCACTGGAATTGTCTGGACTCAGAAGGTTCATTCCAAGGAGCAACCTAACGGCTCACAAACACAACAGGGTGGGCTTGGTCTCATTGTAGTCCCTGGAGAGGGGGGAAAACACATAATTTCCTATTGCACCGTGCCAGGCCCTGCCCCTCCATAGAAGCAAGCACATTTCTATATTTGTGGTGGGCCCTGTCAGTCAGCTGCCCACATGAAGCCCCCAAAGGTCATGCCCATACAGTCCAGCCCATGCCCTCAGGCAAGAAATGTGAGCTTCTGGTTATATTTTCTTTCAGTTTCATTGACTTTTAATTTTTCTTTCACCATGAGCGAGAATAGCTAATAAATAATCTTTGAGAACACTTGATTCCTGTTGTTTGTTCTCTGATCGCAGTTTTCAGGGGCACAAGGCTTTGAATGAAGAATAGAATCAATACCAACCAGAGGGCATAAAGGACCAGCAGAAAGGCCTGCCTGGGGGTGGCCATGAGGTGATACTGGCCTGTTTGGTTCCAGGAGCCACATCATTCCAGTGATAGCTAGGTCCATCTGCCCCTGGGACAAGCCCAGACAGCTCCGGCCCCATAGCCTAGACCTCCCAGACGCATTTATGCCTGATGAGGTGGCACACACTGGCCCTCTGCTGGGGCCCAACTCATTTGTGCTCCTCGCTACTTGATTTCCTATTTATAGCTTCTGGTTATAAGATGCCTGCTGTGAGCCAGACATCATCTTAAGGATTTATTTTGTGCTCTAGATAATATTCATGAAAACCTCAGCAAGTTCATTCCAGTTGTAAAGCTGATGTATAAAAATGGAGATGTGGACAGAGACCTCTACTGTGTTGTTTACTGCAGCTTTTTATTGTACAAAATGTTGAACAGCTTAAAATGTTGACTAGGGGAATAGATAAATAATGCATCCTGCGACCATATAATGGAATATATTAAAAATCATTGTAAGGAATACTTAATGTACCAGGAAATACATGGACTAGTGAGTAAAGAATATGAAATATAAGATTGTATGTATGTCCTTTTTAAAATTACATATATGTGTGCATCAGAATGTATTTCTGTACAAGTAGGTACACACATGAAGTGTATATATGTGTGAGCAGAGGGAGAGTCAAGAACAAGCCTCTTCAGTGTTTTATTAGTTCAACTCCTCAAAGACCATGCTTCAAACACATTAACAAAACAGTTGTCTCAATCTCGGGGGGTGGGGAAAGTGGATTGAAAGCCAGGCAGTTTTTTAAATTCGCAATAACGGCAGAATTTTTCATCAACAATTAAAGTGTTTCCAAAGCTACAGGTGTCTACTTTTGCAAGAAAAACTAAGCCAGGTACTCAGAGCACAACAGACTCTCATACTTACTGTGCGTGTGTGCGTGAGGGGGGATAAAACAAGGGACAGCTTTGTGGAGTCGGTTTCCTCCTTCCACCTTTACATACCCATTGCACCATCTTACCGGTCCCTATTTACTTTTGAGAACAGCCCACAGGCGCTCCCCCTCCTCTCTCTCCAGTGGCCTTGACTTCATGCCTCTGGTGAATGGTAGAATCGTAGACAATAGGAAACCCAGCCAGGCGGGCAAAGGAAAAGCCACCATGGGTTCCTTCCTCGCCACGGGTGGCTTGTAACAGATGCTGGAGACTTGACTTCTGATTGCGGTCCTGCGGTGACCTGTGTTGTGCATATACAATTAAAATGCTGTGCTTCGTTTATTGCATGGAACCTTCGCTGCCTAGTACATATCTGTACATATAATTAGAACGAAAGTCCAGATAGCATTTCTGAATTTAAAAACTTCATTTATGTTAATTTCCGTATTTTTACTATTAATTTTACAAACCACATAATAAATGCTGTACATTTATTTAAACATTTTAATTACATTCATTTATTCGGCATGTGTGTGTAGATTCAGTCACACACATCCCACATTGCATTGAGCATATGGAGGTCAGAGGGCTTGGGGAAGTCAGTTCTTGCTTTCTACCATGTTTCCCAGGATGCAACTCGGGCTCTCATGCCCGGCAGCAAGTGCCTTCACCTGCTGAGGCACCTCACCAGTCCAGCGTCCATTTTCAACCATTCTTCTCTGCAACTAACAGCAAGTATCATCCTGATGGCTCTACAGCCCATGGGTGGCCATGATCGATGTCTCCCGTAGGGGGACTCTCTGGCCCTCACCTCTCCCGTGGCTGCCTCTCTCTAAAGAAGTATGGTCTAAGAATAGCAGCACTAGCCTGGCTTCCATTTCCTGTACAATGCAGCCTTTGTGCCCACACAAAGTCCACTCCGCACATGCTGATAGCATTTGGAAAGCTTGCAGGCTTGTTGATGAGACTCACTCCTGTAAGTGTGTCAAGCCAAACAGAGTCCAGCACCCCACTCGGTCGCACATCATCAAGCCACAGTGGTGCAGTCAGTTTAGCCGTGCCTAGCCCGGAGCGCACAGGGCCTAAGCAGGTACCTGCTCCAGCCTCCTCTCATCTTAACAATGACTGGCTACTTGGGAAGGCTAACTTGGGATTCAGAGGTGGGTGGAGTGGTACAGTGGATTAGAGGCCTGTCTGCTGGAGACTACAGTCATCCTCATTACCTGGGCCACCTTGGATAAACAAAGCAACCCCTTCTCCCCCATTTCTAAACCCCAGGGCTAGAGGTCCGCAGCAGAAGTTTACAGGAGAGATGTGTTGGGATTTGATAAAAGTATGAAGTAACACAGGTGCACTGGAAGTCTGGGAGGTTTGTGTTTGTTTTTTTTTTTTTAAGATTTATTTATTTGTTATTTATATAGCATTCTGCCTGTGTGTATGCCTGCAGCATCAGAAGAGGGCACCAGATCTCACTATAGATGGTTGTGGGCCTCCATGTGGTTGCTGGGAATTGAGCTCGGGACCTTTGGGAGAACAGCCAATGCTCTTAACCTCTGAGCCATCTCTCCAGCCCCTGTCTGGTAGTTCCTATTGGTTACACGTGCTGCAGGTAGCCAGATGCTTGTGGATGGTCCACCTTTGAGGTAGTCACATCACTCTGCAAACGCCTAAGAGGTCAAGGGCTGCCTCAACTCACAGGTAACTTGTTGGGCAATATTCCGATAACTCTCTACCCTGGCCTTAGTGTCTTCCTGTGAAAAACAACCAAGGCTGTTGTGAGAAACATCCCCCCAGCCACGTGTGGAGCAGTGGTGTTGAAAATGTCTTCAGGTTCACACATGCAATGCAGACCTCCTCACCCACTCGCTGTTCACCACACAAACAACCAAAACTCACATCGATGGGTGACGTACTCCTCCATCCCTGCTGTGTGCAGGCAAACTATGGAGGACTGTTTGCAATCGTGAAAGAAGTAGCCATCTTCCAAGAGCCCCTGTGTACACGCTTCCCATAGCTGTGTCAGCTAAGATCCTATCTTAACTTTAGACTTTTGTGCCTAGCTACCAAAGGGCCTACGAGGCACAACCTCTTTACAGACGTGTGTTCATTCCATGGATCACAGGTAGGGAAGCACAGAGGGTTCAGTTCCAGCTTAGGAGCCCAGAAGGACCTATCTTGAGGACACAGGGGGCAGTGCACAGAAAGAAGGCAGCAGTAATGGGGCAGTATCAGATCCCAGAGCATCTTGAACCCTGAGGGAAAGGTGCCACCACAGCCATCTCGATAGAGGCCCTACATCCTCAGAGCCAGCCCAGGGAGGGAGTATGCTTTGCATCCCTCCGACTGCTCCTCTCAGCCTTCCTCCTGAAGAGTAGGGCTTGCTTGCTCTAGCACTTCCTGGGTCCCACATGTCTGGCTGCCGGTAGGGTAGCAGCCCGTGTGAGGCCATGGTGGTGGGAAACTAGTTACCAACACTGCAACTCACGCCCCTCCCAGGTCCCACTCCTCAGGAATTGTAGGGCTCCTCCGCTTTATTCCTTTATACCACCGTATCTTACTCCCACGCCCTAACAGACAGTTATTCCAAAGTGTTTCCGGTGCACTCTGTCCTCACAGTGTGGCACTCTTGTTTGCTGTCTGTGGCCTTCACTGAAATAACTGTCTTACACTTCCTTTTCCCTCACTCACCACTGCCTGTTGTATGAGACTTTTCCTGGGGAGAGGAGGGACAAATTGGCTATTCACTCCAAACAGGAAGACAATGGCAGACCAAAGAAACAATCCAACCGGAGTCCAGCCTGGTGAGCCGGTGAGTTTATTGGTTGTTTATAGGAGTGTGGGTGAGGCTTACTTCCCAGGGGCACACACAACTCAAAGTCAGCTGCATCTCTACAGAACTTCGCAACCGCTACAACCCTAGGGTTCTGCATGACTTGCAGACAGACGGGAGAAGCTCCTCCAGGCAGCTGAGCGGGTCTGGTCCCCCGCTTCTCTTCTCCCAGTGGACTGTTCACTGCCTCCGTAACGTGTGACTCTGGAAGCTCTCCAGGCCTGTGAGGTTTGTCCGCTTGCCTGGTCTCCAGAGCCTAGAGTCTCCTTTCTCCCTTGGGGAAGGGAGGAGGGCTTCAATTCAGAAGGAATCTTTTTCTTTTTGATTAAGTTTTTAAAAAGTCCCTGTCCCAAAAACAAAAAAAAAACAAACAAACAAAAAAAAAAACCACGAAACAAAATACAGCAAAAAATCCATCATCTTAGCCATTTCTAAACACACAGCTCAGCAAACGTAAGCATCGCCTGTTGCTGTCCAACAGCACACTATAGCTTTTCCAACCAGCAAAATGGACACTCTATGCCCATTGAACAGGACCTTCTTTCCTCCTCCTCAAAACTGCCGGTAACCAGCACTCTAACTGTACTTCCTGTTTCTAGGATCCTCTCCACGAAAGTGGCGTCCTACCCTGCACCTCTGTGTGGCTGGCTTCTTCACCACAGAATACCTTCAAAGGGTCACCGTGCTGTGTCGTGTGGCAAGCTTTCCGGAAGGCATCTTTTAATTTGGAGATGGCGGCACTGCCTTTGACATCACCCCACAGTCATGTGGAGGTCTCCATGCCGCCAGCCCTCCCCACACTGCTTCCCTGGAGGGGGTCCCCTGTGGCCTCCACCCACACACTCACCCAGTCACCTGTGTCAACATCCCTATTCTCATTTCTCCTGGGGGGGTTGCTGAGAGATGGCTCAGTGGTTAAGAATACATGGTGCTCTTTTTGAAGTTCTGAGTTCGATTCCCAGCACCCACAGCAGGAGGAGCTGGATCTATTTGGGCAGTTGCAATTGAGAGAGAGAGATTTATGTGTGTGTATATGTAGGTACTGGTCCATCCACTATAGGTACTGGTGGTTGAGAGCTGCCCAATATGGATGCTAGGGACAGAACTCCCCGTCCTCTGAAAGAGCACTTAGTGCTCTTACCTGCTGAGCCA